AGTGGCAAGCCTGAAGACTTCACGCTAGAAACCGGTTTTCGATACCCGTGGTAGGCACAGCACAGATAGTAGCCCATTGTGTCGTTTTGTGCTCCACAACACACAAACAAACAAACAAAGCCATTGTACTCACGTTGGCGAATACCGTGGTCAATTTTGGCTCGCTGGAGTCCAGTGGGTCCATATTTTTTTTTCAGACGATTCACCCCTTCTTCTGTGCCGTAGACGTCACGATAAAACTGCTGGTATGAAGACGCTGGCTCTAGTTGCACGTGTCTTGGGAGTTCGGACTCTGGTTCGTTTAACAAATGGTCTTCTGAGTGCCCCTACACAAAAGTAAAAAACGAATGTTTACAATAAATTGGCAGTTAATCATCTCCGCCCACCGCAGCTCCAAGAAACCATTTGTTTAACCATTTCACAACCAGAGGATTCTCCCCACGGATATCCCCCGATTTTTATATTTTGGAAAGAGAGTTGGGAGATCTATGAAAAAATAATAACAAATTATATTTCTGAACTCAGGGAGATTAACTAGCATTTTAAACTTCTAGATATTAAAGATTAATACACAAATATATATAAGTGTGTGTTTTTCGTATTGCAAAGCCACATCGTGCTATCTGCTGTGTCCACCGAGGAGAATCGAACCCCTGATTTTAGCGTTGTAAATCCGTAGACTTACCGCTGTCCCTGCGGGGAACATATATATATATATGAGATGCTGCAGTTAGTTAATGTCAATATATATAAATGTTGTAATCACTGTATTTGGTTCGACAATTTTCGAAATTTGTAAGTTTTTCTTTCTTTTTTGTCCCCCGATGAGTCAGCGATATGTTTACAAACTCACAGCACTAAAATCCGGGGTTGGATTCCCCGTGGTGGACAGAGCACACAGACCAATGCGGTTTTGCGCAAATACAAACGCTACTTTGATACAACCCCAAAGCGACTCAGCGGCTTATAGCGCTATAAATCGGGTTTCGATACCACTCGTGATGGGCACAGCACAGATAGCCTACTGTGTAGTTTTGTACGTAACAAAACACAAACAAATTCCTTTTTCTGTGAAAACCGAACCATTTTCTCTATTCTCTCTTCTATAAATAACGAATCTTTGAAAGCTTTAAAAAAAAAAAGCATTCCCTCTGTTGAGCTCTTTAATTTCATATAAACTTAGTAGGTAAACTGATAACCAAACGTTTGTAATTAATGAATTGGGTGCATTCAATTACTGACATACGAGTTATATATTTCAACGAACGACCATGATATTTATGTTATATTGTATGTTCGTTTCGAAAAATTCGCACAAAGCTACAGTAACTGTATCTAATTCGAATTGATAGACTTTAGGGAGGACAACCAACACTGGTAACTGCCAAATCTTGGCTAATCGAATTGAGATTTGGTCTATGAAGTGAGAAGCGCGATTTTTATGGCCAAGAGACGCGAACTTTGGACCTTAAAATCCACAGTCCGATACGATAGGCCCATATATGTTACTTCGCCTGCATCGTAGAACATTAACGAATGCTGGTTTTTTTTTTAATCAGTACGAATCAAACTGATCCAAACTGGTAAAATCTCCAAGAAAATGTTACAATAAATGAGAACCAGTAATTTTATTTTTTTTATAGTTAAATACGTGACTGATTAAAAATGTAACATCTATATAACTAAATAAAAAGTTGGGTAAGAAAAGTAGAATCCATGACGACTGGATCCAAAGATAGCTAAGAATGATTGAATGTATGATGTTTGGGTATCAAAATGGGTAAGAACGGTAGGATCATGATGATTAGACACACAGAAGGTAAAGAAAAATATAACCAATGATGATTGGATCTAAAGATGGGAAGAAACGTAGAATCTGTGATAGCTAGATACGATGGTTGAAAAAGATCCTTTGTAAATGGATAAGAGAACAAAATACAATGTCAATGATAGTTGGACATAAACATAGTTGAGGGATGAAGGATCTGCGATGGATGAATACATTTATTGTAAGAATAGAAATCACGAAGAAGAGTACGAGAGGACTATGAGAATTGGAAGCAAAGATGGATATGAGAAGATGTACGAAAAATGGTGATGAGGTATAAGTTCCTTGGGCGTTTGTAGGGGGGGCACTTGCTCCCCCTGAGAAATGAGAAACACAATTCTCTCTTTATTGATTTAGCAAATATATATACGAATTTTTTATTCAGTTCACAATTTCACACAATTTCCCCACCCCCTCGTGGAAAACTTTCTGCGGACGCTCATGGGTATAACTGAATGCAAATATTTGGGAGAGGGGATATATATAACAACTAGATGCAAAGTTGTGTAACTAGGTACGTAGACAGAACAAGACGTAAGATGTTAACAATACATTATCCAATGGTACTGATGTAACCAAAGTTTTTATAGATGGAAACATGTGATTATGGAACTACTATCAACAGAAGAATTTTCTGAAACTTCAAACCATTTTCGATGTCGATAAGTTAAGTCTGTTTTCCCTGGGAAGAAGAAAACGGGGATGGACATAAGGGGTGGTTGTTGGATTTCGCGCAAAGCCACATGAAGAGCATCTGCCCTAGTCGTCCCTAATGTTTAAGTGATAGACTAGAGGGAAAACAGCTAGTCAATGCTATTCATTGCCAACCCATATGTTGCTCTTATCAGACCGAATAGTGGGATTTAACTGTCACTCGTATAACACACCCACGGGGATCCAAACCTCAGGATATCGATGTTGTTGTTTTTATGGCAGTAACGGAACTCGAACCACGACACTTCAGCTCCTCAGTTTGGCACGTTAACTACTGGACCGTGCTCGGTCCTGGACATAAGGAAATTTATGTAAAGGATTACAAGTAAGTCAATATCTACATGAATTCCCATTAAACCCTGTCACGTACCCTACACATTTACTACCCAATGTATGTAAAGCATGTCTTGAAGTTATCTCGGAATTCTTTTTTTTTTTTCTTGACAAACATCGCGAGGGTGGCTTACTTGTCTCCTGTTACCGAAATTTATCCTGCTTTGTAAACAAGTCTCTTTACGTGAAAAAAAAAAAACTCAAGACAGTAAAAGGATATCAACAAAAATATTTTTATTGTAAGCATGGTGCCAAATGAACACGAAAACTGAATTATGCTGATATATAAACACGAAGGAGTGTACGAGTATGATTTATTCCTGATATTTCAGGTGAATCAAAGGAGGACCAAGACAAGATCAATAACGAAATTATCAATGACCTTTATGACCCTAAAAGCAGTCCCAAATGAAATGAAATTCATTTCAAACATTGTAGAAAATGTGAAAAGAATAAGACAAGATCATATATATATGAAAATACTCCTCAAATAGTCCAAATTCACCCCTTATATTACAGCACTTTATATATTCTTGGCTGCGTAATGCTCACATATATATATTTGACCTCCTCATATTTCGCCTCTTACATTTTTGTATTGCCTAGTTATTCTGATACGTCATGAAGTACTGGATCAAGATGTTTTTTCCTGTTAAACATTATTTCAAAATGAAGAGAAAATTCCGGACGACGTTTTTCCTTTTTTGTTTTTTCAGAAATAATACTGCAAAAGGTCAAAATGGTTAAATTGAACCAGAGTCTACAATGATTGTTTGTTTTTGAATTTCCCGCAAAGCTACACGAGGGCTATCTGCGCTAGCCGTCCCTAATTTAGCTAGTCATCACCACCCACCGCCAACTCTTGGGCTACTCTTTTGCCAACGAATAGTAGGATTGACCGTCACATTATAACGCCCCCACGGCTGAAAGGGCAAGCATGTTTGGTGGGACAGGGATTCGAACCCGCGACCCTCAGATTGCGAGTCGAGTGCCTTAACCACCTGGTGGCCATGCCGGGCGTCTACAATGATCAAGTACGTTAAAATGACTTTTTTTAATAATCGTGCTTTGTTTATATGCAAAAATAATTTCTGCACACAACAGCGCCCTCTCCAGGCAAAATGTTAAAGTCCGCCATTTTGTTTTGTGGATCCCGTGGATAAATTTTTTAACACCAATTTCACAATATTTGTCAATGTATTTTAACGAACAGTAATTCTGATGTTTGCAAGAAATGAACTAGATGCAGTATGGATGTCTATAGTAAGTTGTAAAATACAAATATATAAACAGGAAGATTTGATAAGTTTACAAAGGGAAGAGTAAACTTCCCTACTGTTTTTGAACAAGTAAACTTCCCTACTGTTTTGAACAAGTAAACTTCCTACTGTTTTTGAACAAGTAAACTTCCCCACTGTTTTGAACAAGTAAACTTCCCTACTGTTTTGAACAAGTAA